TAGTGAGCAGGTCACCTGCCCGTTGGCACCAGAGTCACGGTCGGACACTCTGATCAGGGCGATGACAGTGCCCACCTGAGCATCCTCTCTCACGGGGAGCGACAGAGAAGTGATGGTAATTTCTGGGGTGTTATCATTTATATCTAGTATTTCTACCAAAACGGTACAATGACCTGCCATTGGAATATTCCCCTTGTCTATTGCCTCCACCGATATTTCATACAACTTCTTTTCTTCGAAATCTAGTTTACCTCTTGTTCTAATTTCCCCACTGTTGGGATTTATGATAAATGCATGCAACACCGCAGGCGATACAGGCTTTCTAAATGAATAGATTATGTCTCCATTCGTACCATCATCAAGATCTGTGGCATTTAGCTTAATCACTAATGTTCCATTAAATGCGTTCTCTAACACTGTCACTTTATAAATATACTGGTCAAATTCTGGGGCATTGTCATTCACGTCCAAAATTGTAATCAGCAACTGAACTGTACCGGTTAGCTCCGGTTTACCCCCATCATTGGCTGTCAATAATAAGCTATGCTCCTGAATTTGCTCTCTGTCCAGTGATTTCCTCAATACAAGTGACAACGAAGACATTTCTTCACGATTGTTTTGTGTGTCCAAAGCGAAATACTCGTTGGGATCAATTCGGTAGATCAAGGCCGAGTTTACTCCGATATCTGCATCGGATGCGCCATCTAGTGGAAACCGAGTTTCTGGGGGTCTAGATTCTGCAATGATTATTCTTTTCTTATTTTCAGGGAACACAGGCGGGTTGTCGTTAATGTCCTTCACCTCCACCTCCACATGGAAAACCTGCAGCGGCCTGTCCACGATCACCTCCAGGTGGATGCTGCACTCCGCGCTCCGCCCGCACAGCTCCTCCCGGTCGATCCGAGAATTCACAAACAAAATGCCATTCTGCAGATTTACCTCCAGAAGGTCTCCGTGGCCTTTGGACGCCACCCGGAACAGGCGCGGCACCAGCTCCGCCAGCTCCAGCCCCAAGTCCTGGGCGATGCGGCCCACGAAGGTTCCGTGTTTGGCCTCCTCCAGGACTGAGTAGTGAACCTGGCCACTCCCTGCTTTCCAGGCTGCGAGAAGTAGAAGTGAGAGCAGCAGACTCTGGACTCCTGGGCCTCCTCTCCAGGAGAACAGCATGATACACGCAAAAGGATTCAAAGATATCTGAAGTATAAGTTATACCTTACCTCAAACTGACTCTCACGGGCTCTGGGGGAGGATTCACTAGAGGTTTCCCATTATCTGCCAAATTTTCTGCAGGAAGGAGGAAGCGAGGGCACTTTCTGGGAAATGTTCTCAGTGAAGAGCGACACCATGTGCATGAATGTGTAACTGTAAAAATGATTAGGTCTTCACATTTTCCATTGATGTAGAGGGTTTTTTGGTTTTTTGTTTTTTTGTCATTTCGTGATGTTTTTCATTGCAAACACGTAATTGAAGATTAAATGTCTTTCTTTCCAGAAACAGTAAATCACGGTATTCTGCTCTGTATAGGATGCTAGTTGAGAATTGGTTGAATTCCATTTTTCCACAAATGTATTTTTGCAAGGGTAAAACTTTCATGCAGAGTTTTTTTTTAAGATTTTATTTTTAAGTAATCTCTACACCCAATGTGGGGCTCGAACTCACAACCTGGAGATCCGGAGTACATGCTCTACTGAATGAGCCAACCAGGCTCTCCCATGCAGAATTTTAAAAGAGGAATATTCAATATTCACTTTTGGAAACCAGTCTCCAGTTCTGCCTAACTTTGGTGGTTTCGGTTGGGAATGTCTTTTTCCTGTAATATTTATTTAAAACTGCTCACACAACAGCCATTAACTCCAAATGGAAATATAACCAATTACAAGAATAAAACAGATGATTGTGGAAAATATTAATAAGTGATATACCAGATGTATAAATATACCATATGTGTAAATTCCCCCAAATATGCATGTGAAATGTGGATAAAATATTTGTATTTAAAGGAAGTGTCCTGTCAATGTGTGTATGAGTTTGTATGTGAGCCTGTTTGTGCATAAACACAGTAATTTAGATCATTAAGATATAACAATGCTTTGCATTTTTCTTTACATAAAAGATGCCAAGAACTAGCATCCTATGTATTTGATGGAATTTAAATTAATACCAATAGGTTAAATTTCCCTCTTCTCTTCCCCATCCCTGGGAATAACTTTACTGATCATTTCAATTGACTCTGATTTTCCAAACATCAATAGGTAAGCAGAGATGTTAACACATCTTTAGCAAGAAAGAAAGGAAGAGAATATTACTTTTACCTATTGCTACAACTATCTCTACCAAGCCACAAAGTTCCAGGCAAAATAGTGCTATGAAAGATATAGTACAGCTCCAATAATTATCTTGCCTGTCCTGTACACAACTCTGCAGGAACTAATAGTTGAGTTAATTTCTGTGTCTTTGCTCATCTCTGAAAATTTGCGTAGAGTATTTGATATTCTCTTGCCCCCATCCTCCTCTCCTGTTACATTACTTTCATTAACATAACTTTACCTGTATCAGGGAACAGTCCCTTGATTATTTGTAGTTGTTCTTGTCTATCAAGCTCTACCTTATTTCCCTTTCCACTCCACCTAACCTAGATTACAGAGTCAACTATGTGAAATATGTCAGACACTCCAAAAGCACTCACCTACTACTATTACTCCTCTAACATTTTCTTTAGCTTCCAACGCACAGCCTAACTATTCATTTTCTCCCTCTTACTTAGCTTCTCCATTTAGGGATGTTACTTCACCATGATCACTATATTCTCTACAAGGTTACTCTCACTTTTACCTTGATTTGGGCTTTCAAATGAATTCCTGATTAACTCTTTCCTCCTGCATACCGAGATTCTTCCATATTTTCTTCTCAAATTCCCAACCTCATTTCCACCATTTTTTTCTCAGATAATTTACACAGAGAGATAAATAATCAGATATGAACTTGATGGCTCTCTTCTTGTATCAACATTTTTTTCCCTACTAAGGAAAAATGATCCCCACTTTTTTAAAAAAGATTTTATCTATTCATTCATGAGAGAGAGAGAGAGGCAGAGGGAGAAGCAGGCTCCCAAGGAACAGGGAGCCCAATGTGGGACTCGATCCCAGGACCCCGGGATCATGACCTGAGCCGAAGGCAGACACCCAACCATCTGAGCCACCCAGGTGCCCGATCCCCACTTTTAAAGTCAACCCTATGCTCTTAAAATATTATTCTCTTTTCTACCTCTTCCACAGTTTTCACCTTTTTTCTGTCTTCTTTTTAAGTAGACTCCACACTGGAATTCACGACCCTAACATCAAGAACCTGAGATCAAGACCCAAACTGAGACCCAGTCAGATGCTTAGCTGACTGAACCATCCAGATGCCCCCATATTTTTCACCTTCATCTTCATTTTTTAAAAATATTTTATTTATTTATTTATTTGATGGAGAGAGCAAGAGAGAGAGAGAGAGAGAGAAAGCAAGCACGAGCCAGGAGAGAGGCAGACGGAGAAGGAGAATCAGATTCCCTGCTGAGCCAGAAGCCAGGATGCTGAACTCGATCCCAGGACCCTGGGATCATGACCTGGGTGGAAGGCAGACGCTTAACCGACTGAGCCACCCAGACGCCCCTCATCTTCATCTTCATTCTTAATCTGCCTGTCTCATCTTCAGTATCTCCTTTTTTACTTGCTTCTTTTCCTCACACTACAAAAACACTCATGTGTCCATATATATGTATATACATATATTTTTTTAATATATACACACACATACATATGTACACATATTACACACACACACACATTTAAATTTGCTACTTCTTGGGGGGAAAAGCTAGTTCTGTTTATCCCTTCTCTTCACCTCAAAAACTAACTAATACTTGATGTATTGCACTTTGAGTTTTATTTCAACTGTCTGTTGCATAGCCTCCTTATGATTTTAAGCCTATTATAGCGGGTTGAATGGTGACTCCCCTAAAAGATATGCCCACAGTCTTTTTTTTTTTTAAAGATTTTATTTATTTATTCATGAGAGACAGAGAGAGAGAGAGAGAAGCAGAGGGAGAAGCAGGCTCCCCGCCGAGCAGGGAGCCCGATGCAGGGCTCGATCCCAGGACCCTGGGATCATGACCCGAGCCGAAGGCAGACGCTTAACCATCTGAGCCACCCAGGCGCCCCTATGCCCACAGTCTTAATCTCTGGAGCCTGTGAGTATTACTTTCTGTGGCAAATGATGTGATTAAGTTTAGGGTCCAGAGAGAAGGAGTTTAGCCTGGATTACCCAGGTGGGCCTTATAAAGCAAACATATGGATAAGTAGACATGCAGGAAGGGAGGCAATGTGACCAGGGAGACAGAGATTGGAGTGGTGAAGCCACAAACCAAGAAATGCTGATAGCCATCAGAAGGTGCGAGAGACAAGATTTTCCCTTCGAGCTTCAGAGGGTATAGCCCTGCCAACATTTGAATTTTGGACTTCTGGTCCCCAAAATTGTGAAAGAATAAAATTTTGTTATCTTAAGCCACCCAGTTTTTGGTAATTTGCTACAGCAACCCCAAGAACGAACATACCGATTCACCTAACTTCTTTACTTGGACAGTTTGTTCTCATTTTTTAATCTCTCTTTTCTGATTCTATCCTTTCACAGATTTTTTCCATAAGAGAATTACTCCCAAATCTAGATCTATAATCTCCCCTGAGTTCCAGACCTGTATTGCCAATCACAATGGCATTCTCTTAGAACCACAAGAGTAACATTTTATTAAATGTTTCTCTCCATTTGCTAGCTGGACAAACATACACAAACTATTTCTTCAACTGTATTCTGCACCTTGGTTAATGGCAATCTCATCCTCCTAGATGACCAAACTAAAAAAGTTAGTGTCATCCTGTTATTTGTCTTTCTCTTATCATTTGTAATGAATCATTCATTATTAGGTTGCTTCTACTTTGCTAATGCCTCTTGTACATATTTCTTTCAATCCATTTTCACTGTCATGGTATGTCTCCATTACTTGATACCTAGAATATTATAAAAAATTCTTTACTAGTTTTCTTACCTTCAGAATCTCCCCTGTTCCATCCCTCAAGTACATATTCACTAGAGCAAACTCTGCTCATTTATTCATACTTACCTCTCCATCAGTAAAACCTTCCAGTTGAAAAGTTATCTATCTTTCAAGGCACTCTTTAGTAAAACATACCTAATCTCTAGAGCCCACCCACACTTCTACCTTGTAGGGAATCACCTAGGTGGTTTATTTCAATACTGTATATGTATTCAAAAATTATTGATTGGGGGTGCCTGGGTGGCTCAGTCAGTTAAGTGTCTGCCTTCGGCTCAGGTCATGATCTCAGAGTCCTGGATCAAGCCCCACATCGGGCTTCCTGCTCAGCTGGGAGTCTGCTTCTCCCTCTCCATCTGTCTCTGCCCCCCACTCCTGCTTGCTCTCTTTCTCTATCAAATAAATAAATAAAATATTTTAAAAATTATTGATTGAACATATGCTATATTCCATGTTCTAAAACTAAAGATATGTAAGACAGTAGTAGGCCAAGGCAGGAAAGTTTAATTCCTTCACTACTAGGCTGAAGGATTTAAGGCTTTATTCTCTAGTCAGAGAAGCCTCTGGATATTTTTGTGGAAAAAAATTACAGGATATAAAATATACTAAATGCACTTTAAAAGACTCAAACTGGGGGCGCCTGGGTGGCTTAGTCAGTTAAGTGTCTGACTCTTGGTTTCTGCTCAAGTCATGATCTCATGGGTCGCAGGATTGAGCCCCCTCATTGGGTTCCGGGCTCACAAGAGAGTCTGCTTGAGATTTTCTCCCTCTGCTCCTCCCCCCACTTGTGCACGTGCACTCTCCCTCTCTCTCGTATAAATAAATAAATCTTTAAAAATAAATAAAAGATTCAACTGATAACAGTGTCAGAGCAGTAGTGTGCCATAATGAATTTGGGATCCTCTAAAACTGAGTTTGGGCTACTTCTCACTACCTATTTTTGTCTTAAGCTTCAGGTTTCTCATCGTCAAAGTGACTGTGATAAATACTGTACTCGTACCATAGGGCTGGGTTTTTTTTAAGGTTTTATTTTTAAGTAATCTCTACACGCAAGGTGGGGCTCCAACTCAGGATCCTGAGATCAAGAGTCACA